TTACCAACTTTGTGTGAAGAGTTACAAGCCACAAGAGTTTTGTCAGAGGGTGAAAAAGTAGAATTTTGGGGTTTTAGAATGGGGGTTCAAGAGGCAAGATGGAGGAATCTGGGTGTGTCCTGTCCTTCGTCTTCTCTTCCTGTCCTCCATCTCCTGCTGTGATGGTGACACTTCTGGATTGGTTTAGAATAGAGACAAACTGTCTAATAGAAGTGATCGGTATTGGAAAATTATTGTAAATAAAGTACAGGTAGTTTTTAGTATAAAAAGCCAACACCACCCCAAGGGCAGTCACTGTGCCACAACCCGACCTGCTGGACAGATCTTGGCAGGTCAGAGAAGGAATATAATAAATCAGAAAAAATAAACAACCTTGAAAAGCAGAACCGATGAATCTCAACTTCTTCTTCGTTCGTGGGGCTGGGAAAAAAGGGACTTGGTAATACCCCAAAAGTCATCTCAGCCCCAGAAACCAGAGAGTTCCATGGCCAGGGGCTCGTTCTGCTCTCACTGCTGGAGAGGGGGAGCCATGTCCCAAGGCAGGTGGCAGCCAGGACGGCTGTGATGGGCAGCAGGGATTTAGAAGTGCCAATTAAAAGCTGTTGCCTGTTGCAGAGAGGTTTCAGAGAGCTGCCCCAGCTGAGACAGCTGCTGGTGTAGCTGCTGTTTCAGGAGCTGGTTTGCTTTATTTGTGCTTTGTTAGCTGTGACCTACTGTGGTTCACCATTTCCCCCTCAAGTCCTAATTTTAAGGAAAAATTCAGCTTCTGTTTGGTGAAGCGAGGCTGTCCAAGCCTCGAGCCTCATCTGAGTCACAGGAGTCAGAGCCCCCATCCTGTGTCAGGACCAGCTTTAAGGATTAACCCCATGGCTGCAGAAAGTCCCCAGCAAAACCTGCTTTGGCTCAAGTCCATGAGATCAGGCTCCTGTAACAACCCAGTGCTGACAAATGGGAACTCCCACACCAAATCCTTGCTTTGCTCTTTTCTGTGCCTTTCCCCTGCCATGTGATCTGGTTTTTTAAAGCAGGATAATGCTTGCTCAGGCCATTCTTGTTTGCACAGAGAGAAGAAAAGGGTGGAGGATGAGCAGATTTCCTAAGGACGCCCCTCCAGCACATCCCAAGCTCCCACCTGTACAAGGTTTGGTCAATCCATGCACTCCAAGGCAGGATGACAGCACTTGCCTCTGAAGAAGCAGCAGTTCTGATTTCCAGAATTCATGAATCCAAAGAATTCCAGCACACCCAGCCTCTCCTGCCTCAGTTTCCCCTTTTTCCTCCCCAGCCTGTCCTGAACCAGTTTGCCCAGAGCTCACAGTGCATCCAGTGCAGGCTGACAGAAAGTTTTGGGGCTGGATACAACCAAAAGAAACCCCAGAAAATGATCTTTGCATTTTCAAGGAGCAGAAATTTGCAGCTTAAAGAAATCTAAATCTCCCTGGAAACTATTTACCAAGGAAAACTTACCCACAGTCATCCATCCTTTGAGTGTTAGAACAGCTTGAAACTAAAAAGTTCGCAGAGCTCAAGCAGGAGAGGAAGAGGGGTGGATCATTAAGAAGATATTTTAAAATATTTTTCTGGAATTTGACTTTTATTTCCACACTTGGATTAAGCTCTTCAGCTGGTGAGGAAAAAACAGGAGAAGTCACTCTCAGGATCTGTGAGAAAAAAAAACCCAAAAGGGCTCTTTCTGTAGGTTCAAAATGTTCCTGGGATTTTGAGGCTGAGAGTTTTCCGAGAGCACTTCTTCCAAAGGACCTTCTGAGAACACACAGTAAACTGCAAAACAATCTCACAGAGAACTACAGAATTCCTGTTGGAGAGATAGAAAAGTTATTTTCTATCAACAAGGACAGAGCCAGAACATTGAAGTTTGACATTTCAATAAATGTATTTTTTGGCCTGTTTTGACACAGTAGGAGGGAGTGAGAATACTGAGATTACAGAGCCCAGTGCAAGGCAGCACCTCTGTAAAAGTCTGCTCCATATTCCATTTGTCAGTTTATAAATGGAGCCACTGCAGTAATCTCTGCTTCATTGAGATCAGCAGATTTTTCAATTTCCCTTCAATAAAAAAAAACAAAAAAAAAATCCCCAAGGAGAACACTTTAGCTTTTTAATCATATCCAGACCTGTTTCCTGTAATGAAGAACTTCTTTTCCAATCCCAGGAGAGCAGTTCTTTGAATGTCACTTTCAGATAGTGAGATAAAAATCTCTGCTGTTTGCAGGAAAAGGCTCCAATGCCATTTGTGGCTTGAACCACTTCCCAATTTATTTACTTTCTGAGGCTGTTTACATTTTCAGGCAGCCCAGCTCACTCATCCCTAACACTCAGTTTATTGCTGCAAGAAACACAGCCCTGTGCCAGCCACAGGAGAGATTTCAGACCTGAGGACACCTAAAGGCTTTTGGATCAAGTCACCTGAGAAAAAAATGGGTGGCAAAGAAAAGAAAAAAGTCAGTTTTGTGGTGAATTTTATCACTGACCAGCAGCAGGAGGCACGGATGGTGCAAGCCCTTCATTAGGGCTGAGCCTGAAACTGCTTTTCATTCCTGGAGAGCTGCAGGACTCCCAGCCCAGCACGGGGAGGGGACATGAGGGACAAGGACATCCTTAATTTGTCTGAAGAGCAGCTGGTGCTCATCTTTATATAATTATCTCCTCCAGCAAAGCCTCCTGCTCAGAGTCAATGGGGCTGGAGCACACTTAGCCCAGCTCAGGAGTGACACACCAGCTCCTTTCACCAAGTGCATCCAACTGCAAGGCTCCTCTGTTTGCTCTTGCTGATATTAAAGACTCATTTTGATTTAGACTAAGAGCCTTTTCCATCCCTTGGGAGGGAGCTGTGGCAACACCAGGGTATTCAATTAACTCTGTGCTCTAGATTACTCATAGAAAGGAGTGTGTTCACATGGACAGGGATTGTCAGGGTACTGTCTGGAAGGGGGTTGAATAGCTAATATAATAAATATAGTAAAATTAATATAATAAATATCATATATTTATTATATTAATTATATATATGTATTATATTATAAAATAAATATATAAAATATATACTACATAAAAATAATATAATATATAATTTATATTATTTTACATATTTTATAATTTATATAAAATATATGAATAATATAAATTATATATTATATTATTTATAATATTAAATATATTATCATATATGTATATAAAAATAATATAATAAATATAGTAAAATATATAATAAATATAATATTATAATGTAATACAATGTAATATAATATAATATAATATAATATAATATAATATAATATAATATAATATAATATAATATAATATAATATAATATAATATAATATAATATAATATAATATAATACGTATTTTTCCAGGAGTTGGAGTACAATAATCTTTATGGGTCCCTTCCAACTCAGGTTATTCAACAAGTCTATAGTATTATTATTATTACATATAAGTAATCACTTCATTGCATAAATCTTTCTTGCTTTAGCAAAGCTGCTTGGTCACCTACTTTTCAACCTTCTTCTTAACTGGTATTTTACAAACAAACAAACAAAAAAAGAGAGCAGCAGGTGGCATCTTGTTACAGACAGAAAGTAGGAAACCAGTTGTTATCAAGCTCCTGTATTCAATCTTTGGCCACTACCTCTTCTTTGTCCCCTTCTCTCAGTCTTTGACACCTGGAGAGAAGCATTCACTTCAGCAGAAAGTAATTTTCCTTTCCTGCTTTTGTTTTCTTTATTTTTAAAGAGAAAATTTCCCAAATCAAAGCACTAGCTGGTTCAGAAAATAGGAAAAACACCTCTCAGAGAAGTTAAGAAGCTGTTTAGGCCATTTTTTGCTGATGCTCTCAGGGTTCAGTTTTGGTTGTGATAGATAATTTCTTAAATCCAGGATGGAACTTGTGGTGGATGCAGAGCTGGGATTTAAATCTGTGTGTCCCTCCTGGAGGTTACAGACTCCAGCACCTGCAAGGGCTGAACAGCTGGAGAATATTCACTGTAATAACAGCATCATGGAAAGGTTTGGGGTAGAAGGGACAATCTCATTCCACCCCTGCCATGGCAGGGACACCTTCCACTGCCCCAGGTTGCTCCAAGCCCTGTCCAGCCTGGCCTTGGACATTTCCAGGGATCCAGGGGCAGCCACAGCTGCTCTGGGCACCCTGTGCAGGGCCTCACCACCCTCAGTCAGGAATTTCTTCTTCATCTCCAACCTAAATCCATCCTCTGTCAGTTTGAAGCCATTCCCTCTTGTCCTGTCACTCCATGCCCTTGTAAAAAAGTTCCTCTTTGGTACTGGGAGCTGTAAGGAATCCAAACAAACTGGAAGGAGAAAAGCCTTGGAGCTCCTGGCAGAGGAGCAGCCAGGTTGGGTACAGCCCTGTCACCCGCACACCACACACAGCCACAACTGCTGGCAAATCCCCAGGGTTTTAGGAGCCTGGACAAAAATGGGATAAATAAAATGGAATAAAGCTCAAAGTACATGGAAAGTACTTTGAGAGGATTTCAAAAGTACATTTTTTCTAAGTACATACAGGACTCCTCTGTATGCTTGAAAGAGTTCTCAGCACTGCAAGGGCTGCAAGCAGCTCTCAGTTCTTGCTTGCTTGCAACCAAAATAAGAAACTCCCCCTCCTTACCTCCCAGGAAAATCCAGAGTGTCTGTGTTAGTCATGACTTAAAAGCCATAAAAAAGGACCCATTTCAGTTCAGCTGTGACACTGTTCAGATAAATGATGTTCAACATGCCCCTGACACAGCCATGGCAGTTTTTAAATCAAACCATGATAGGCAGTTTTCTCTTGTAAAAATTTCCCCACCATTTCTCTGTCACAGAATCCCAGAATGGTTTGGGTTGGAAGGGATCTTCAAGACCACCCCTGCCATGGGCAGGGGCACCAGGTTGTTCCAAGCCCCATCCAGCCTGGCCTTGAGCAAGTGTGTGTTTGTATTTTGTAGAGCAAGCAAAACAAGCATTAGAACATTCCCGTTGAAAAGGAAATAGATAAACAACGTAACCATTTATTTGACTGCATTGTATTTAGACAACTTGTACATTTCGTAACCCCACTGGTTTTGTTCTCATCAAAAAGGATAAAGGGACAGAAGAATACAATCCACTCAAAACAGCAGTCCAGTATTTTGAGATACACTTGCTATTTTCATAGATGCCCACCTGATACCTGAACTCCAACACAGGTTGTAATGTTATACAAGACCTGAAGTTTTTTCAACACAGCACTGAGTTGTAGCAATGTCTTGCAGTGCCCTGAAAAAGTTTGTGACATACTCTGCAACACCAATCTGATGATGCCTTGAAGGTGATGAACCTGATCATTTCTTAAAAAAAACCAACATAATGAATGCAAACATCCAGACTGACATGTCAGCCAATAGCAACATTTGGGCAAATTTAAATATAAAAGCAATCAACTCCTTAGTTAGATTTGTCAATGCAAAAAGGCGAGGGGGAGAGAACTGTGTTTAGCAACAGACAGGAGAAATAACCAACCTTTCCTTGCTAGATTCCTTTTGAAAACCTATGCAAATTCAAGGCTTCCCACTTGATTTCCTAATCCCAAGCAGCACAGAGAACAAATCTGTTTGACAGGACCCAGCACATGCAGCTCAGTGTCTCCTGCAGTGAACTCTGTGACACAGCAGCCATGGCATAACCTTTCAGGCCATATTGAAAAACAAAAAAAGGGAGATCTACACCTATTTTGCTCGGTATTTTCAACACAGGCATGGCAGCAACCACTTCTTACAATAACCAACCAGACTGTATTTGAAGTTTGCTCCAGAGGAATGAATGATTTTGGCAGTGAGGAGGGATTTCAGCTCACTTGCCAGTCGGCTTTTGAATCTGAAGACACCCACGGCTTAAATATTAACCAATAGAAAACTTGCCTGTCTGGCTTTGCAGACTGAAACCCCAGCAAGACACACAAGGCAGCCCAGTTTGCAATTTGTGAATCAAGTCCAGCAGCTGCTTGCAAGGTCTGAAACCTTCCTGATCCAGCTCCAAGGTAGTCCCCTACATCCTGGACCACAGCTGAGGGAAACCTGACTCAAGGGATTGAATCCAACATCGAAGTCTTAGCACTGATCAAAACTGCTGAAAAGCCACCCAGAAAAACTGGCAGAAAAACAAGAGGTTTTATGGTGTCACAAGGCAGCAGTGGCTACACACAGGCTTTAGGCTGAGCTCCAGCATGTCCTGGGGGAAACAGACTCCACTTACAACACTTTGTCTTGGGCACCCTTTTAAAGATGAGTTTTCTTTACTGAGGGGAACAGACCCCCTCGACAGCACAGGTGGGTGTCTCTGCAAGCAGAAAACTCAGCAGGGCCAACTTCCATTAAAAATCTTTATTTTCAAATACAACTCATGATTTGTACATGGTAAGAATCGTCCATCACCATGTGCGATTGGTCTGTGCAAAAGGTGGCTTTGCTCAAATCCAGTTTTCCTGCACAGGGCTCTTTTCCAAATGATACTGGAGGTAGGGGTTTTGTTGGTTTTGTTTTTAGTGTACAGTAATTAGCAAAAATGAAAACAAACTAACAAACAAAAAAAAAAACCCCAAAACCAACCCCACGACTCAAACCAAACCCTAAAAAGGAAAAAAAAAAAAGTGTAGTAAGGCAAATCTGGAGAATTCGCTCGGTTCCATGAGAGTGGATTCACTGAGAGTTCATCCTTTTGATCCCTGTAAGGACCATTCACCTCAGAGCTGGACTTGATCCTGGTGGGTCTCTTCCAACTCTGAACACTCTGAGATCTCTGATTACAGAGGTGCTTCCACAAGTCACCTAATACCTTTATTCTTGTCTTTCAAAAAACCAAAACAAAACCAAAAACCCCCCCACAAACAAAACAAAAAACCCAACCCAACTGATTCATAGACCTGGGCTATGGAATCACACGGAACAAGAAAACCTCGACGCTGTCATTACTGAAAAAAATGATGGGTATTGGTAAAACCTATGTAAGCCCAAATAAAGAAAGGAAAAAAAAAAGAAAGAAAAACAGAGCAAGAGTGAATGCAAGAAAGAGAGACAGAATTCCTTCCCCACTGCTTTGATTTTAGAGGGGAAAAAAAATCCCCCAATAATTTAGCTCATGTAAGTTGAGAAAATGAGAGCAGCTGAAAATGAATATGATACACCTTGAAATTCACTTCCAAGAACCAAAGATTGAAGCATTTTAGAACACTGAAGCAAAGCAATCTGAATCTGAAAAAAATTGTTCCAGCTATCTTAAAATAGCTGTTTCTCAGAGCTTCTAGCAATAATTTTGATTAAATAAAAATCATACCAATTTACATTAATTTTCTATATCTTCTTTTAAAAGAAGTCCCTCACTCTTTTAATGACAAAAGTGCATCCAAACCCAGCAGAGATTCACTGGTGCCACCAGGTTCTTTTAGCAGCTACTCAAGGTTTTCAAAATAGCTTACACTTCTTGCTATAAGAAGGGCCTTCCAACCCCTTGTTTGGGAGAAGTATCCGAATTATAAAAATCTGAAATAATTTATTATCAAATCCAGAATTTAAATAAAAGCAGATTTCTTTTTCCTTGCAAAGACAACTGAAGAAAGTAAAAGAATAAAAGCATGCACTCCAAACTTAGAGGTGAAGACAAATATACTTATCTATACAGGCACTGGCAGACGCAATTTAATGGTTACTCGTTGTAACACACACCCCACCCTACAATACATTTTTTCATTCACTAATCACTGAGGTACCAATATTTAAGAATGGAAAAATTCAATATTGAAAAATAAAACCTAAAATTGAAGCCTTTTTTTTTCTTCTTCTTCTTCCCCAGAAAACTATGGCAATTTTTGTATGAAATGTTAGTATACTTATAGAATTTTACAATCTACATTGGCTTTATTTTGAATTTTCGGGAACCAAAAGCGGCGTTCCCATCCAGGTTTTCTCTGCTAAAACGTTCACTGTGTGGATGTCCTAAAGAGTCAGCAGACTTGCAAATGAATGAACATATCTTGGCTATCACCTGGCACATCTGGCTGGTACCAAAAGGACTCGGAGTCTGAGACAATCGGCTTTAATTCGGAACAAATGCGCCATGCCAAAGTGCAACGAATGTGTGCGACACTCAATGGGACACTGACAGGTTTAAGAGCTGCATGGAAAGTACTAAAAGTCCACCTTGCAAAGCAATTTGGGACAAATTGCATTGCATGCAAAGGACAACTCTGCGCTGCTGGGACGTCGCTTGCTGGCTGGGATGGGGCCTCCTAACGCAGCCACAGTTTCAGACGCAGTGCATCCACTCCATTTAAATAGTATCTGAACAGCCTCTTGTCTCGCACAAAACCAAGGTTTTCATAAAGTTTCAAAGCAGACTTATTTGTGATTTCTGTTTCCAATACAACCTTTAAGGGAGAAAAGAAAGAAAAAGAAAGAAAAAAAAGCGTGTCATGTTAGTCGGCAGTACATAATTGCTGAACCAATTCCAAAGGTTTTATTTAAAGGTATGGTTGTTAGCAATGAATGGAATTCATTTCTTCTTATCTTTACTTAATTAAGCAATATTTCCACATTAAGCATCCATTTCCACATTAAAAAAAATATAATACAGCATTTCATCCACAACTGTAATTGTAAACAACATTCAAGATTTTATTCTTGGCTGTAAACAGTATTTCAGTTCACCACCTCATAACAAGGGTAAAAAAACCACATCAACAAACAAATCCCAAACAGCCTTCCCCAAAACCCAAGCTACCAAACAGGTTAGGGTCCAAAACATCTTTTGAGTGAGTAGCTGAACTTCTGCATGTCACAAGACCTTGGCACATGAGGATTTAATGATTTAATATCTTTGACCCCTGATTCCTTGGAGTTAGATGTAGATAAAAGCTCTGAATTGACAGCAGCTGTCAGACCCAACATTTGCAGTGAATATTTTTGCTCAGCACAAGAATCACACAGTGGTCTAAGTTGGAAAGCACCTTCAAGATCATCCAGTTCCAGTCCCCTGCTGCCATGGGCAAGGACACCTTCCACTATCCCAGGCTGCTCTGAGTCTGATCCAATTTGGGTACCAGCAAATACCCTAAACCCAAATCACAGTGCACACCAGAAGAATAAGCAGAGTTTTCCATATTTTTCCCCCTCTGTTGGTAAGATCCCAGTTGCATAAAGACCTGTCAGAAATAACTCAGACCATCCAAAGCCAAGTCCAAGAGTAGTCCACATTAGACTCAAAATTGTCTCAGAATTCTCAAGCACAGGTAAAAACTACACTGGCCTTAACAAGACATTAATCACAAAAAAGTTCAGAAGTTTTCAGAATTGTTTCTCTCTCTCTTTTCTACACATGCACTGGACAGAGCTCTGCCACAACTGACAAGCCCTGCATTGCCTCCATGTAATAAAAACTTATTCTGCCTCTTGACTGGTGTTCAACTCAATTATTGAAGGTTCTGCTATTAGCTAGAAGAGGGGCTGAACTAACAAGGCTTGAGCTCCATACACCCCTGATAGTGAATATCCACATATTAAAGAGCAACTGATGGTCACTGTAGAAAGACCATAGAATGAAAACACAGGACCAAAATTCCAGCCTGGATTTGTAGAGCAGTTAAAGTCCATCTGCTCTGTGGCCTCCCTTCCTTCAGGCACACATTCCAACTCCCTTTTCCCTGGCCTCTCCTGCCACCTCTCGAGGCTGGTTCCTGAGCTCCTTCCAAAGCCACCTGGCAGAAAACCTTTCCTTTTTCTCTCCACAGGGTTTGTTTTCTGCAGTCTGAGGAGTGGCTAGGCCAGTGTGAAAGGGGGAGGCAGCCAGTGGTCAGAGTGGCCTGAAACTTGAGTCAAATAAATGCATTAAAAGGATTTTTAAATCTTATTGGAGGTCACCAGTCTAACCACTGGCTGCCACATTCCAATGGGAAATCCCACCTGTGTTTCTCAGTGTAAGGACATTGAAAGAACAATGAAACTGGGGATAACAACCCAATGAACAATATAAGACTTGGAAACAGTTAGTTTTAAAAAAAGGAACTAAGAGTCACACATTGAAATATTAATCATCAGAGTTCTTAAATTACAGCAGGGCAGTGATGTAGCTGCACACTTAAGACAACCTAATTCAATTCTTAGTTTTGTGACAAGATTGAGAGATTGAATTTCTCTGTTTGGCACTTCCCAGAACATTACTAGTAAGTCCTGTGGGAACTGGAGAACTCCTAACATCCTTCATCCATTAAAATGGGTAACTATTCATCTGTAACAAATTATGGAAGCACCATCATTTTGCTGGAGAAGGCTATTTTCTACACATTGTACAACTCCTTAATTCCAATTAAAACAAAACACTGAAGCCAAAGCAGGAATCTGACCTGTGCAGAGGATTATTTATTTGAACTCTCAGCTATGAAGGGCATTCACTTTCTCAAAGGTTCAGTAACCTGGCACTGTGATGTAACAACTCTCTATTCAACTGCAAGCACCAACACCTGGCAATGCTAAAACACTTCCAGCACTGCAGTGATTGAGCTGAAGGGAGTGGTTAAATGTTGAAATACAGGTTTTTTGGAATCCCACTACCTAAGTGAATGCTCATCTTGAAAGCAAATGCAGGAGATTTGCTCTGGTATTTCTAAGGAAGCCTCAGCACAATGAAAAGTAATTCCCTGATCTCAACATACTGCAGATGAGGACATGTTTCTATTATCTGAAAAGGAAACACAGGCATATTTTATTCAGATTTCATTAGCTTCCTTTGGTGAAGAATGCATCTCTTCCTGTGTGAGCTTTTCAATCAAGCTCCAAACCCTCAATTGTTACATTTATTTCTGCTCTTGTGGGTCGATTTTGTTGTAACATATGCCTGTTAAATCCTCTGATAACACAGCTACACCTCCCCTGAAGGGCAGCAAAGCTCTGATTAGATTTAACAGTGTTTTCTGCTCAAGTTGCAACTTTCTGAAGGTTGTGACATTCTCTTTTATCTTAAATTTCATAAACCAAACATTTTAGCTCAACTCTAATATTAACTGGGCTTAGAAGCAAAAAGATATCTATATTAAGAGTGGAGTGCAATGTTCCTTGTTGCTGTATTTTCACACCTTTAATTTATTCCTGAACTGAAGCCAAATGGAGTGGTCAAGCCTTCTTGCTTCTTCAGCTCAAACTCTGAAGGAACTCAAGTTTAAAAGCAAAGTATTAAGAATGGATACAGCCAAATTAAGAAAGTCCTCTCAGCACTCAGAGGAGGCTGCTATTCTTACTTTTAAGTCTGACAGATCATCAGACTCAAGTTATGAGGGCTTGTCCAGTGTCTTTAATCAATTTAACTGCCTTAACTTTTAAAGATAGGCATTACCCAAAAATCTAAAGTTCATACTTTTTATGTTTTGTAGATTAGGGAGAAACTAAAAATATCAGCAATGTAATGATTTCAAACAGGATTCCATAAAAATGCACATTTCCTTTTTACTAGTGTGGTGCTGAATTAAAATGACACACCTATAGTGTGGTCAGAAACCCCACTCTAACTCACCCTGAAGTTCTAATGGGAAGTCTCATGAAAATCTGTGGTTCCCTTTCATGTTCTACATTTTTGCTTAAAAAGGGTTTTTGAAGTCCCATTACTGGAGTCTTATTTTCATTAGTTACCAATCCATTCACTTCATATGACTGAAATATTGTATTATTTCAGTAACACCAAGTGAATGGGTTGTATGCAGATTCCTCAGTCATTTGTTACAGATGGAAAACCTGCATATGAACAACTCCTCCTTTCCAATTGTAATTAAGGGATGTAACAGTTCCACAGGATGGCCTTCAGCTGTAGAGTTGTGGGAAATTGCTTGCCAGCAAAAACAGTACAAAAAGCAGCCAGACACCCACCTTGCTGCAGTCAGCACATGCTTTTCTCTTTTAAACTGGAAGAAAAATATTTCCAAAACTTTGGAGCTGAAAGCAGAACTACTCACCTTCACCTGATTTATTTCTATAGTTCCCCTTTTCTGTGCAACCAGCCCAGAGTTATCCTAAATCACTGTGACTCACTGGAAACTCAGCCCAGTACAGTTCACTACCCCAAATATCAGAATTCATGAACATCAAATATTTTTAAAAAGTCACAAAGGTAAAAAAAAAATACCAATCAGAGATGCCTAAGTTTTGTAATGTTATATGCAGACACTCCAGCTGGAAGCTGCTGTGTGAGTATTTTCTCCAGGCCTGAAGGTTATTTCTGGTTCAAGCACCCACCCCCAACAGCAGATCACTTCCCTGGTTTCTATTCTAATGTAGGCCATGGCCAGCTCCATGGCCAGCTCCTCCCCTGCACACAGATTCCATTCCACTCTATTCACCTCCTCAGTCACTCCACAGCTTTCCCAGAGAAAATCTTCCACACCCCTGAGGAAGACTCTGCCCCTCAGGCAGGGTGCTGACCACTGTAACCCACTCATTCCATAGGCCTGCCCTGGTTTATTCCCACTAAAACAGCCTCCAGGGGAAAAAAATGTCCTTAAACACCAGAACATTGCAGCAGGCTTTGAAATGCCACCTATCAGCTGTGATTTGTCAAGATTTTCATCTGTGGTGTTGTATAAATCCTTTGTTTTTCAGGACTCAACACTGGTACCTCCAAAGCCAAATCTCTGATACTTTGAAAAGCAACACACTGACTGAGGCATTTATCAGATTATATGCCACAAATTATTAAAATTAAGTCTATTTACTGCATCTATTCCATAATTAGATTGAAGGGAAGAGTTTCCAAGCAGCCTTTGGAAATTTTTCACGACACCCACAGCTGCATATTCATGTTTTTAATCCTATTCCAAGCAAGTTTCAGAAAATAGCATTTTGCTTTTAATTGCACTCCATCTTATCTCAAAAAGCAGTATCTTTTTATTTTCATCAGGATTCTGATCTTATTCAAAGATGTAGAAAAATACCTTAAAAAGCTGCAGGGATGATTAAACTATTTCTATGCCTCACACAGACAAATTATTATGATGCACCACTTTGTGTTTGATGAGCTTTAAGCATCAATTAATCAGAAACTGATCTCCTGACAACTGCTGTGAAAACTGGTGAGACCCAAGAGTTGGGCAGAGCTTTTCATGGGTGCCTAGTTAGATTTTTCAGATTCTGGTCTGACTCAAAACTCAGCACTGCACCACATAACCTCCTTATTTTACACCATTTTGAGTATGTGGAAGAAACCTACTTGGTGGCAAAGGAAAAAACAAACATGAAAACATTGGCTGTTTGGTTGTGGATAACCTATGTGTGGAAAAGAATAACATAAATAAAAATAAGTGTGGGTGTGCCTCAGTTGATGGTGCAGAAAAATAATCAGTAAAATACTCTGCTTGTATTCCATGCTCCCTAAAGGACTCCCAGTCCA